ATTTTTATGAAATGGGCAAATGTCCCTATCGGGAACCCTTAATATTGAACCAATCCGAGTTGCACGTTACTTGCCCACACACCGTATACGACCTCTTTCGTCAGATTCTGTTTGGTGGCTAGCCTGGAGCTGACGGCAACGGCAGTGAGATTCTGTAGTCGCGGTGGCATACTCACTCCCTCTCTTCGTAGATCCATTGGGCGCTGGGCGTCTTTCGGGCGTATATCCCAAAAACTCGGCGCATGCTAGTTCTTTTACGGCACCGACAGCTCCTCACTAATCTACGACCGCCCCTTGGAATCCCTTTGCACTAACGTGATTTTCAATATATACACAAGTGTTTCACATATTACTGCGCCCTAATAGATTGTAATTGACCATGTCTTGGAGGATCTCCCATGAGAATCATTCTGTAACCTTTTCTGGGTGCACTCGAAATTTGATGGTTCAGCGGTGATTGCGCTGTCTTTGATCCATATATCTCTCCCACGTGGAAGCGACTAGAGGTAACTAAGGAGCGTACAGCGTCAGAACACAGGCGGGATAGTGATATGGCAAAGGAGCCTGTAACAAGTAGTAAGTAGTACGTCGAAGGTCGAAGCCAAAGATATCGTACGACGCGATATCGACAATAGCGGTGAACGAAGCCGGTAGTATGATGATGAGGCCAGAACAGATGCCTGGCCAATTCATCACGTAACAGTTCTCTCGATTCCTGCCAAACCGCCGGACATCCAACGTACAGGAATCTTCAGAGTGGGACGAGAAGGCGCTTTCTAACACTTATCCTGCGAAATCGAACGAAAGGAAGAAAAAATTAGAGTTTTCTGAGCACAGCTTTCAATAAGTTGGAGGTGAAGCTTGCTAAGTGTTGATCTGCCTTTGTGTTAGTGTCCTTTTCGAGGACAAACTTCCGTCCACGGGTCTAAGTCTTCGAGACAACGTCTCTTACGATTATTCTTATTAAGAGAGCTACGAAATCCTTGCAATATATTTATCGCATTGATGGCTGTGAGCGATATTATGCTAATGTTTTCCTTCTACACAACCGTTGCCACATACAGGCTGTGAGTCTTTGGAACTCTTTCGAACAGTCGATTCAAAAACTGTTTCCTACTGTTCTAAGCAGGTGTTTTCAGTAGTAAAGATCACGCTATCTCACATGAAGTTTGCGTTTACTTTAATATTGTTCCTTTCTTCGGCTCGTGTTTGTCGACCATGCTTCTTCTCAACTTGGCAGTGGATAGACTTCTATCGCTAACATCTTTATAGTAAGCTTTTCAGAGCTTTCTCTGTGAGTTTCAGGACAGTGGAATTGTTTTTTGACTTTTGTAAGGGTTCATCCAAGATACAATAAGGATACAATACCAAAGCTAATTATAATCATTCCGCTCTGGTGTTTAGGCACTTGCAGACTATTGAGATAAACCTTTTATAAAAGAAGCATAAAGCACGTAAACAAAGGATAGCAAAGTCCAAAGTCAATTATGACATAGAAGCATTCACAGCATTCATATAATTTACATTTGACTTAAGCCGTCTCGTTTCCTGTACATATGCCAAGCTCTACATTGTGGCACAACTTCTGCCAGGGTGCATATTTGGTGTAACTGTAGGCGTTTTGATGATTATAAACCGGAAGAAGGAGAAGTGAGTGACTCTTAGAACATATTTGGATGACCAAGCTCCAAACCTTCCTTACTGGTTTGCAGAGATGTCGTGTGTACTATATCTGCGCCGCTACTCCCGCCTTTTAATGTGTACTTCATAAGGACAGTGTTCATAATATGTGTCTTGATCGTCTTTTGCTACAGTTTCTTCGCACTTTTCTTGAGAAGAGTGAAGATAAGTAAGTTATAATAAAACTTCCGTTTGGTTTGATTTCGTTAGAGCACACTTAATGAATACTACAGGACAGGAGTCGAATCTTTCGCTATAAGCACTTGCATGGAGCTGCTGTGGTCTGGGAAAATCTGAAGATTAGCTTTTCGAAAACGAGCGAGAGACTTTTAAAGGAGCAATACAATCAAAAAATGCCTGTAGAGGATTTGGTTGTTCTCACCTAGCTGCGTTCTCCACTACCCCGGAAGTTTATTATGATCTGAATCAGTCGCCGCCTGTAGTGCTAACAAATTTGAACGCCCCAGACCCAAATTTATAATTTTCGCGCACGCTTCCCCCGTGAGGGCGAAGTCTGACCTTGAGACATATCATCAATGTACCCATCCTGCCATCAGTACTCCTACCAAGTTTAAACCTTCTATGTCTACGGGAGTTATGAATTTCAGGTTAAGCAAAAGCACACGCGCACCCAGATAAACCAGTATACATACTAAGTGTACATTCTATATATAGTAGAATTCTCCCTTGACATTGTCCAAATATTCAGAAATCAAAGCCGCTTTCCAGGAAACGAGGTTACGAAAACCGTGTATCGATCATTGATTGTAAATAGTATGACAATGGTATGTGGAAGGTTCGGCGGGGCGATTGTTGCAATGACAGATAATCTTCACAATCCATCAATCTCTTCAATATTATTAGTCGGGATGTTCATCAACGTCGGAACTGCCGTCAACTTTTTTTCTTACTACTTTTTGAGGTTAAAGTTTTCCCAAGTTTTTCCCTCTTTTCGATGATGATAAGATAGTCAAGGTTGCACTATTTTGCCTCATTTCTCTACCATTTGTAATTTGTTATCCTGTTGCTCTCTCAGCGGCACAGCTCAGTGTAGCCAACTGTACGCAGTGGCACACACGTTGGAACAGCTCGTTCTAATACTCCTTCCATGCAATTTACAAGCCACATTCTCGTCCAATCCCTTATTTTACTATCTTTGGATGCATTGTATCTATCCAAATTCTTCTCCTTCTCTAACCCTTTTCTAACAGTTGTCAAAACTTCTACGAATGACGCTAATAATTTGATCGTTTCAGCAGTCAGTATCGGAAAGTATTTGACAACGTAATTGGAATCGGCCGTCTCAAGAACGCTGTTCTTTCTGTTTTTTCTAAGAAGCTAACGACAGTTCAATGTATATCAACCCGTCCTACTGCTGCTCCTCGCATATTTGAACCATGACTTTGTTCTTTGAGCCTGTTCTACTTCTGTACTGTTGTTTATCCGTCTTGGATGTAGTTTCGAATGTTATTTTTTGTGTGAATAACATTTATTTTTCGTAAATCTCTCGCTCTATTTCTAACCAAAAATAAAAGTCTCACACCTAGAATAATCATGCGTCCAACAAGATATTCTCAAACAAAATTTGGGCACTTCCTAGTGTCGCTCGCTCCATGTAGGTAAAGTGGAGGCCACCTTAGCAATTGCAATGAACACTCGATTGGACGTCTTGTAGGAGTGTTTGACAGTCAAGAAGCGTAGGACTTTGCCGGCTATCTTCATACGTGTGAACAGAAAAAATTGACAGATCCTATGGAAGCAATGACCAACGAGTGAGCATTTATTTCTTTTTTGATGCTTTGGAGCCAGCAATCGAACATACAGTACTGCCTCCCAGGAATGTCACACCATTACTTCACTAGCAGCCCCACGATGAATCGATAAACATTCCAAGAAAGAGAGAGTTCCTGTCAGGTACGTTCATTTTCCAGAGAACGCAGAAGACAATTAGATTCAAATTTTGAAAAAAACCAAACACATATAATAAAATAAAAAATATTCAATCAGAACAAAATAAAAAGAAGTCCTACAGTTTTGTGAATGCGTGCATGGCCCATGTTGGAAGCAACTAGCCGAGCGTAACTTAGTTCATTATATTCCAAACTGACTGTATGACCCGTGTCCTTCTCCACAAGGGCCAAAATAGTCTACCTATGAATAGCTAATAACGCTGCAATAGCTACCTATAACTGGTTATTATAGATTCTTTAGATATCTATAGGTAGCTAAACTAAGACGTCTTAACGTCTTTCCCCTACTGTTTTCTAGTCAGCCAAGTGGACTCAACAGTAGAAAAAAGACATCAAGGCTCTTGACGGCTCAGCACAATGGCTACGTCTGCCCATTGCTACGTATGCTTTTCAGAGGCACAGATTGTCCCTACCCATCTCATATGTCGATTTATGTACCATATATCTCTTCATCCTCCCTTACAATTGCATGTTTCCTTCCATATTACCTCGGTCAGCGCACGTGTACGGTCAGTCCACGAACACGTTCTCGTACACGCTATGGATTATGAAGACCATGAAAATGGATGAGCCAAAGCGTACTCTAATGAACGTTTCTCCTCAATATCTGTCGTCAGCAGATACATACGCGGTCTCTGGGCCCCACGTATAGGATTCACCTCGTTCTTACCTAGCTCAATCCCTTGTTTTTCAGAAATTCTTAAAATTCAAGTAATCTGAGGTGTTGTATGAGGGTTCTCGCGTGTCGCTGAGTTTAAACAAAAACTCTCTTCACAGAGGAATTATTAGAGGAAACTGTTGATTGAAAGACCGTCGGTTTCTTGTCACCTTCACAGATCTTCGGTCTCTTAACGCCTGACCGACTAATTGTTGGCTCTATTATGTATAAATAACGAAACACATAAATAACAAAATCCACAGTAAACATATCGCAAGGTCATCTAATTCATCCATGTGATTGGTGTCAATATATACTACAGAGATCGAAATACGGTATAGGGGTACAACTTTAGGTTGGCAACTGAGTAACTACGAAGTTGTCGAGGTAGTTCGAGCTTTTATCTTATAGGGTGGTTACCTCTTTTCAAAAGTGATTCGTATCTGTTGATCAGGCACTTGACTATTTTGCGATCAATGTATGGACATGAATACGAATATATATACGAATATAAATACAAAATAAAATAAAATAAGAAATAAATAAAAATTACTAACAATAAAAATAAATAAAAAACAAAATAAAATAAAAAACAAAGAAATAAGTAGAGATAAATATATAAATATATATAAATATGACTGAATATTTCCTTATCTGTAAGAAGGGTAATAATACTATTTTAGGTTAGCATTATGCGTAATTTATTAGCTGCCAACCCAGTAGATGGTATCCATGAAATTCGCGCTTACCGACTGGATGTTCGGCTACCGTACTGCTTCTGTGGCAGGTACTTTTCTTGCCATACGAACAGGTCTATCCAGCGAGACAGAACACAGGCCATATCGCTTAAAAGTAGTCCAATACGGACTTTGAGGCAACTCCATGGATTGAAGTTAAGCCAGTTTTTTGAACTATCGAATATTTGCTGGGGGAAATGATAAGCGAACATCATTTCATGAATAGTTTTCAGATAGGTGAGACACCCTTTAACGGACCTCTATGGAAGTTTTGATAAGACCTTTTTGCTTCTTGGATCATTTGGCTAGAGCGGGATGGTCAAAGCAGCTTTTTCTAGTGTTGTGGAAAAACTAGTCGAAAAGCTCCGAGACTTTCCGAAATTTCTAGAATCTTATAAGTGTACGAACTTAATTACTATTGGCGGAGTTTCTAAGATGCTAGCTCCTATAGAGCGCATCGAGTGTAACAGAAGTGAAACAAAGCATGTAAATTGAATTTTATTTTAAGGAGTCTTTTCATAGTCACAACTCTATCAATGGATTATGTGTAAGGCTACCTCCCTTTTGAATGATGGAGGACATATTTTTTCATAAAACTTTTGCCTGATGGCTTAATGCGTAAATCATTCCGCTAAAACAGTTTCTAATACACAACAATTTCTTTGGCCTGCGCTCACATCCTTCCGCATTGACGATTCCTAAAAAACAATGATAAGTCGCTAAGTTCCAAAACAATTATTCGTTTTATTTCGTGGAATGAGACACCTTTTCTTGTTACCGAATGGGTTGCCGCTTCATCTCCTTTTTTGCTCTTCGAGTCTACGGTAGCTCTGCCATAGCTCTTTCCTCGGCTTATCGGCCCATGACCACACTCCGAGCCCTTTTCTGTAGGGGATTAGTGACCGCTATGAGTCTGCCATTCAGCTCCAACTCCATACATAGCTTCTTCATCTTTTTGAATTCCGAGAAGGGTTGTTTTCCGATGACAAGAGAACCAAAAGTATCCTTCTCACTGATGAAAGACAAAGGGTAAAGTGTTCTGGCGTAAACCAGTCCCGTCTAGTGCGCCCTTGCATTCGACTTTCATTCAGAATCGTAGTGGCGTAGTGAATGCATATGTGGCCTATACAGTGACTTGCGGTGGTCAGCTGATGTACAAGTCAGTACTTCTATCCTCCCTTCTGTCCTAGTCTGTTACCGATTAAAGGGATGGAAGGCTTGGTCGGCTTAGAGGCGGATAATGATCCCGGCTTCGAACCCGCGACCATGAGTGTGAGATAGTGCGCCATTTGTCACTACACCACCTCCTACAAAAGGTGTTGTTTGTACCTGAGTTAGGAAAGCCGAAAATAATCTTATGGCAGATTCTCGTGTACGCCATCTCTTTGCATTGGAGTTCGGATCTGTTTTTCATCAAAATTTGAAGAGATCCGAGCGAAGTCCTTTTCCTGGAGCTTTGTTTCTCAGATATGTATTGATTACTTTATGCCTTAATGAGTCCTTCAAAGAATTTTTCACAAAGTCAGCTATCTTCCAATTTACGGCCCGGAAGATTTCTGTATTCATCACCGTATTTTTTTCAGAAAAAGCTTTCCCACATGTTTATAAACACGGTCTCAATTGCATATCAAGTTTTATATATTGTAGTACCAACAATAAGTGTAGTTGGAAATACCTTCATCGTGTATGCAACAGTGGTATCGAGGTAAGTAGTTTTGCTTTAGCTAGTTGTAAGTGCACCCTGCAAATCTTTACTCACACCTCATGAGACATGCTGATTGTAACAGAATTCAGTCGGTTTTGTCCTTCCCAGGGATACTTCCCAACCTAAAAGTTGCAACTAAGTTCTACACTAGAAGCAATCTAATCACTCTAGTAAAAAATAGTAAAGCACGGTCGACACTCAAGGGGATCTATGAGAACGATACGAATAACTGCATGCTTCTGGTTGTTGATGTCACCCGAAACTCAGCTACATCTTGCATGAACATTTAAGTGGCTGCCGATCAAAGCCGCTTAATTTCGCCCTGTTTGAAGGTCCTCGAACGAAATGAGTCTTCATCATTGTCCCTAATGAAGGCCTCAAGAAAGAGTCACCCAATCGTCAAATGGGATCTTTCAAATTTCGTTTTGCTTGGTAGGAATTGATCGTACTGTAAAGTAGGTTCAGAGTTAAGGGTAATTTTTTTTTGACATAACCTACTCTTCAAACCCATATCAGCGCTTTCTGAGCACAACCTTCCATCTACTACGGTTATTTTTCTTCAGGAAGTTGCGGAATCCTTGCAATATATTTATCGCTTTGATCGCTCTGGGCGACATTATGCTGATGTTTTCCTTCTACACAACTGTTGTTACATATAAGTTGTAGGTTGTACTTTTTCTCAAACAGATAAGATGACATCGTACAATATCGGTTTTGAAAACTAGTTGTTACGCCACTGATTCGCATATGAATAAGCCGATGTGAATCCTTGTACTGTACTGCCCAACCCTAAACTCAATTCGAAAACTGTTCCTTAGTGTTTAAAGCAGATGTTTTCAGATATGATGACCACCAAATTCCACAAGATATTTGCGTTTATTTCCATATTGCTCCTATCTTCGGCTCGTGCTTTTCGGCAATGCTCCTTCTTAATTTGGCCATAGACAGACTTCTATCGCTGACAGCTTTCTAGTAAGATACTTGTCGTTTTAGAATAAAGAACAAATAGTCTGATCTAATCATCTCTCAAGGACATTTTTATTGTAAATTCATATCCTTAACATTTAGCGAAGTCCTGTCCACTTCTTACGTCAAGTTCTACATAGCGGCGCAGCTTCTACCAGGTTGCATATTTGCGGTTATCGTAGACGTTCTGATAATTATTAATCGTACAGCAGAAGAGTAAGTCTCTAGTACACAGAGCATGGATAGATTGAAAAGGTTCTATATTCACTTACAGAAAAGTCGTGTGCACTCTGGCGATGCCATTACGTCCACCTATCAATGAAATTTATATCAAAACGATTGCTATAGTATCTTTGTCACTGATAATTTGCTATAGTGTGTTCGGCCTATTTTTAAAAAAATTGCAGATGAGTACGTTTTTAATAACGTTCCTTACCCTTTACAAATTTTTTTTTTGAAAATCACATTTCGAGAGCTAATGCAGGTCAGAGAGGAAATATCTACCTCGATCAGTAAGGTTTTAATTATGAAGCAAATTTCCTGATATGAATACTTTCTTCCTGATTATTTTGCTATGCGAATGGAGGACGCATCATCTGAAACGATGGCATAAACAGCCTAGGCAGGAGGGAGGAAAATTTTAGGCTGTGGTTGAATGGGTAGATAGCCATTCAAAAGGAAAATATGGTATTCTAGAACTTAAGGCGATCAAAGATGTTTTGAAAGCAAATAGGAAGATGTTTTCAAAAAAATCATCAAAGGCCTAGTATGAGCTATTAGTAAGGACAACTGGTAGAGTGCTTAGTGGCAATGCTTAGCGTCATGATCTAGACAAGTAATATAATAGTTTAAAAAGCTAGTCAATGCGGAAGTGAGCATTTCAATAAAAAGCCAAAATTTGTCTCTGTTTCTGACATCTTCTGAAATAAGAAGGAAGTGAGAGGGGAAGCCATGTTCATGATGTTTTAGTAATGAACACTACTTTTTTTTTCAGGTACCGAAAATATGAAAAGCGTTTATCGATCCTTGATTGTTATTAGTCTTACAATCGTTTTTGGAAATTTTGGAGCAATGGCCGTTGCGTTGACAGATGATCTTACGAATCCTTCGATCTCTCCGATATTACTGGCAGGGCTTCTAATGAATTTCGGCACTACAGTCAACTTTTTTGCTTATTACTTATTGAGGTTGTTGTTCGTTCTCTATGAGATAGTGATTCCATGACTTAATTTTTTAAACTGTCCATTATTACTCCTGCACTGACTCTCTTTTCATTTTACGCAACGTTTTCTATGAATGACCAAACTAACTATTTGGGCTTCTGGTCGTTTTGGATGTTTCTACCTATCTATGTCTGGTGAAACGTTTGGTTGAAGCCTATTTTAAAAAGCAGTTTGAAGCAGGATACACTTTGTTTCAAGGCTTCACCACTATATTCCTACTGAACGATGTATCAGTACCTGATATCAAGGGCTCCAGAGATGCTAATAAGTATGGGTTCAACCTGACAACTTCTGCTGCATTGTGATGGTCGTAGCGAAAACATAAGCAATTGCATGTTCCCCTGATGGGCTTTCCCTATCACCAACCATTTTACAGTTTTCTGATTTTTGAGATCCCTCAGTTTATCATTAATATATACCTCAGTCTCAGCTTCTAAAGAGAGAGAACTCTTATGATTTAAAATGAAGATGTGATTCCTTCCAAAACTTCATTGCGTCACCGATTCTGCCAATTGCTGTACTGTGTTGAAGGTAACAAAACATCGTTTCAGCTCTCAGTATCGTGATGTTTTCGATAACGTTCTTGGAATTGGTCGCCTGAAGAAGTTCTTTCAAGCGAAGAAGTTAACAAGTGTTCAACAAATATCAATCCGTACCGCGACTCACACCAATAGCACCAATCCGTGATTACGTTGCTTGAGCCAGCAAAACATGCTGCGGAGCATTGTTCCTGATGTATCCCGTCTCCAAATTTCTGTTGAAGTTACTTTTTATTTTTTATAATAAAGCCTGGATATGTGACATGTGTGTTGGCACGCATTTTTACTCTTTAACCAAGTGGCACAACCATGTTCAAGACGTATATGTTGCATGCAGTTTTGTACTGCGTCCTTAATTTTATTTGTCAACAAATGAACATTTTCAGTAGCCTTAAACTCTTCTACTTCGATGATTTTTTCAATGACATCTAGCAGTAACAGTCTCCATAATTCGGTGTCAAGCAGCAGCAGAGTAAGTTTGCAGCACAGCATCCTAGACAGGCTCCGAGAAAACTGTCCATGAAGCCGTTCCTGAAGGAATGTTTATGCAGAATAATGTGAGATGCAGCACGGAGATTTTTTGGTGCCGTGAAGACTACCTGTTATTAGCTTCGTACATCGGCGATTGACAGATATACGGTGAGGGACAGTATGGCGACGGAGGGTAGTAAGGATCAGGATATCCACTTGGATAGTCATAATAAGGACCATAGTATGTTACAGGAGAGGCATAGTACGGCTCCCTGTACATCGAGGCTTCCTCTGTAAAGGAGAAGGAATGCAGTTCGGATAAAAGGATAAAGGATAAAGGTTTTGGCGCTAATCAATCCCGTCTGAGGGATGCGCTCCCGTACTGAACTTCTATTCACAATCGTAGTGCCACTAAGGTATGCGACCTATACAATGACTTGCGGTGGCCAGCTGATGTACAGGCCAGTGCTTTTATCTTCCCAGACAAGTCTGGTACCAATTAACCGACCAAGAGGGATGGAAGGTGGATTGGTAAAAATATATCCATGTAGCAGGCGGGGGAGGGGGGGGGGCAAAAAGATATAGCGACTTTGCAAGCCCATATGGTACTCAGGAAAGTTTTTTGGCTGAAGAGACAGACATTTTTCTACCTAAATCTTGGGAGGAAGGGAAAACCTACTTGTTAAAATAAATAGTAATTATAAAGTGAAGTGAATAATCAACCTACCTATGTCAAACTAGCTAGTTGAAAATGAACGTACTCAGCTGCCCTTCATAAGAAATTGATAATAGCAATGATAAGTATTCATTTTGATATGACAGATCAAGCAAATGGTAAGATTGATTGTGAGGTGAACAGAGCAAATTGTTTCCTTTCAACTAAGACTGTAGAATATCTTCAGAACCGAATAACTAAATCAGCGTTTTTGTTGTCGGCAGCCAGATAGAATCGACAGCGTTTAAAGGAAAAAAAGCATCAGAGTATTGCAAAAATTGTCTTTTTTCCCACACTCGCTATTGCTTGCCAGATTTTCATGGAAAAAATTTTAAAAGTGCAAACATTTCATCTTTACAATCATTTGACATAAAAGGATATAAGGTTGTGCGTAAAGTTCATAACCACCACAAATCCCACAACAGTCCAGTTTCTTCCTGAGATTTTCTAGAATCTTCCGTAGAAATACCCTCAAGACACGAATCATGTATGCGTTGGCAAGATTGAAATGTTGTTTTCAATTAATAATTCATTTTACTATAAAGACAACATCAAAGCAATCAATCTAAATAATTCTCCTTCATCATCAATGACTCTTTTCTTTCAAACAAATGATAGCCGAACGGCGTCAGATTCGGGCAATGTGGCTCGTGAGGTAGGACCTCTCAGCTCAACTCCTCGATTTTCTGTTACGTGATGCTTGTGACATGCGCTCTAGCATTATCATGCAAAACTTCTATGTTGACCCCCTGTCGACGGAGCGCTGGTCACCGGCAAGAAATTCAGTTCTGAAAAGAAGCGGACATTCCAATATTGCAATCGGTTGACCAGATCCAAGTTCATTCTCGACCTTTTTAATTCAGGCTGCGAATCCTTCCAATGAGATGTGGACAAATCGCCTAAAAGAAGCTCCCAACTTGACAGATTTGTTTCAATGGGTTCCGGCAAAGAAGGGGGCCGGATTTGGACCCACCAGAAGGCGTCCACGTTATCCGTACACGCGTGCGTAGCGCCTTCTCATAAGAACTTCATCAAAGCTCCCAAAACATCTAGGGAGAAATTATGACATTTGTGAAATCATCGGCAGACACTTTCCTTACAACCTAATAAAAAATTGCGAACAAACATGGGGAGTAGCTTTAACCAGTCGCTTTAACCAGTTTCACCGAGTCCTAACGACGTCAATTCATTCGATCATTATCAAAAACACAGCTGAATGAGTTCATCCATCACTTGTGATTTCTAGTTTTATCTTTGCTGAGTTTTACAAAACCGTTACAAAACGGTTCGTGTCGGCTATCAAAAAGAGGCTAGCCGCAAATGCGCTGGTAATGCCAACCGAGCTTTTACCGAGTTTCCCTTCTCGGCTGTAACTTCGAAGACGGAGTTGAGGTATTTCGATCATTTTCTAACGACATCAACTGTCAGATCGTATAATGAAGTATGGTAGTATGGCGCTATTCATGGTATGTGTAGAAGCCCACTGCACCAAGACCCTGAGGTGTAGGCAGCTCAAGCAAGCAAATTTTGGTGCTGATATGAGTATAACCACATAAATCAAAATTCTGTTCAGAATGATTTTTCAGCAACTCAAAATCCTACGCATGCGCTTTAGAAGATCATTGGCTAAAATGATGCTTACTACAGAAAAGAAGTTCAATTGGATCAACATACGGAACTATACTTGAGAGAGATACAGCGATACCTGCAAATGCTAGTATGAGGTAGAAAACAACATAAAACGTAAAATATTGTTACACTCTACGGAACACAGTCGAAAGACGATTAGATGCTTGTTGAACCTCGGATGGTTTTTCGAATGGAAGATATTCTTCAGTCGACCGATTCCAAGCACGTCGTCAAAAACTTCACGATACTGTGAGCTGAAAGGAGAGTTATTTGTTTTATTCGTAACGGTGTTGAAGAGGTGTTGCCTGAGGATCACACACAGGCCTTTAAAGGTCAAAATGCAAAATTGATCGAAAAAGAAAGCGTTCTTTTTATATGGAAAACGTCCAGTTCTTAAGCTCGCATACTGTTACTCTTGTCGACAAGGTACTGTTTAAGGTGCGCGTGTTGGCAGAGGGAAAAGGATGTCTTGCTATGTAGTTTCATAATGTTGGATCTTGGCAAAGGAAAAAGTCTCCGTAGATTAGCATTACTTCGAGGAGCGACGGTTGGAGATGGACTGGATCTGAGAATATAGAAAAACATTTGAGGCACCTTAGAGCGAGAGGAGGTGCAGCTTTAGGAGAGGATTAGGGGAGAATAAACAGGCTGGTTTGATCGTATTTAAAAAAATTGTTGATGCATCGAGTGAACGGGTAACCTTTGAATGCAACCTTTGAATGAAATAGTAAGGGTTATGTTTGGAAAAAAACGCAGTCCATTACTGTGATAAAAGTTCTGCTCCATTAAAGAAACAAAAGGTACTAACCTTAACCAGTAGTAGGCAAAAAAATTAACCGAGGTTCCGAAACTCATAAAGAGTCCGGCTAGTTGTATCGGAAAGATTGACGGATTATCGAGATCATCCGTCAATGCAATGCCCATAGCGCAGAAATTCCCGAAAACGATTGAAATGGTGATTAGAACTAGCGACCGATAAACATTCCTCATGCCTTCGGTACCTGAAAGCGGACTGTCGTAAGTACTAAATCGGTAAAAAGTTATTTTGTTGCTCCTTCTTTTTCATTCAGCGCTCATCGAAAGCAGATGATGATAACTCAGGATTACTCTTCCTTTCTGTATTCCCGATTACCTTATGCCGCCACTGTCCACTCTTCTATCGGTACACGTCGTCACCCGCACGCTTTGGATTTTATGCAGTCCAGTTGTGTCCAGGGGAGATCAGAAAAATGTCAGATTGAAAGGGTACTTGTGAGCTATACTATAGGGAAGTCATCTTCGACCTGAAAACCGGATTGGCGAGGCCATAGAAGTTCACCAAGCCAAACCTAATGCTCTCCCTTCCAAAAGCGCTCTCGGGAACAAAAGGCCTAATCATAGAAAAAGTGAAAGCCGACGACTAGGAAATGTATCATTCGTGCTTCGCGAACGCTTATAACACCGAGTATCAAGCGGTCGGTACAATTGTTGGTCAAGTTTGAGAACACATTGATGTTAATGAGCAAAGGATTGGTTTCTGTCGTTCTTTTCAGGCTTTGCGGTGCGTATGAATTCTATTATTTCCCAGTTTGCGTGCCGGGTCCGAGAAGTCAACATGATGGCGGAACTCCAAGATCGACCGATGAAAAGTGTTCAGAGTCATTACTGCCTCGACTCAGGCCTGAGACATTAAGACTTTATGCGCATACAACGGGCATGGAGTCAGCGTCCTTCAAGGCCCTATGAAAAGGGTATGCCCGGAACTTTCTGTTACACGTAAGTGCAGGAAGAAATCCAGAGTTTCGAGCCGCGTCAACCACAAAGAGCAGAGACGCTATCTCTCACGCCAGGCAGTCAAATATCAGGTGTCGTGCCGCTCAGACGACTTGAAGGTCGGCCTGGCATGGCGCGCCCTCGGTCCCGCCGGGAAGGCACAGTATGCTGCGGAGAGCTAGAGTCTGCCACGTGGCTAGCCACGGACTCTGGTCGCTCTCTCCGCCATGCAACCATACCATCATCCATTGTCGCCGCCATCGTAGCAGCCTCCTGCTCGTCTTCGTCATCTGGTGCCAATCGACGTCGACACCATTGACGCAGCTCCAGTGGTTCCCGCAGCACCACATTGTTCTAATCTACCAAAAGTGCCATTGCTGCCAAGTATGCCGCAAGCAAGGAACATCAAGAGGAATGGTGCGCAACCATGGAAGGACCGTGGAGCAGCAATGCCAAAACTGGGAGGATTTTGATGGCCCCGGATGAAAACTTAGCAGGATCGTACCTTGACCGTAGGTTGAGTGTGGCTTTCATGTTTACCTGTATTTTCACATGTATTCCTTTTTCACAGTATTATTCCT